TATGCGGATTTGACTGGCGGCGTGATCATGTGTAGTGTCGATAAGGTAAACATTTTGTGCCATAATACTTCTTCATATATAATTTCAGTTTTCTGTATTTTTCTACTATTGTAATCCTGTTTTTTTTCTTCTTGTAGTTGAACTATAGTAACATTTCCCCTACTTCTGAAGAGATGTCAAGTCTGAACATCGACACACTTTTTGAAGTAGGTGCCTGTTGTTCCTGCCTCTCACACTGATGATTTTGTTGCTGCACCTTCACCTTGTCCTCAGCATATGGAGCAACAGTCTACACGACCTTATCCTCAAAATGCAGAGCAACAGTCTAAACGACCTTGTCCTCAGACTATGAATCCACAGCCTAATCCAAGTTATGATCCTTTTGTGCGTCTTGATCTTTTGAATGATGAAGTTGAGAAGCTGAGGAGTGATGTTGGAAAGGTACTTGACCTTTAGCTTTTCTGTAGTTTATAATTACTTTTTGGTTATAAACATGGTTGTTTATTTGCTTTTGTTGTAGTTGACTGATACAGTGACGACACTCAACAACTATGTCGTTTCTTCCTTTGAAAAAGTGTTCAGTTTTCTGAATATGAAGGAACCCAAGCAAACGAGGGAGGATTTTACTGATTCTAAGGTAATTGTTTACTGATAAAACCAAATCACTCAACAGTTATGCCTTCTCTGAACTCAACATGCCTTCTCTTTCTATTGTTTTTTATTAGATTCGTCAGCCCGTGTTTGATGACAATACATCTGGTCTTGGCGAATTTGATGGCTATCAATATGATGTTGTTCCTAACTTTGTCAATCAAATGAATCAAGATAATGTGGTAGCTGACGAGGGAGTTACTGATGGTGTTGATAATGGTATTTGTTCTGCTTTCTTTTTTTTTTTGGTCTGATTTTTCTTTTCTTCTTTTTGAAGTTTTGTATTATTTGTGTTTCTATGTCTAAGGGGCAGCAGGTGATGTCAAGGGTGACACATTTTGGGATGACATTGGTGATGAAGATTTAGCTCATATGTCCCTACTTGTGGTTCACAAACAATCCATCATAGAAGTAGAAGATGATTACATTTCTCCTGACCATTCAGTTCGACAGAAAATACCAGAAAAATATGCCAAATCTCCATATTTGCCAGTTTTTGATTCTGGAGCATCAAAATCGGCGCCCAAGCTCATTTTTGATATCAAGCATCCTTTCACGATCGAAATTGATGATTTTGATACATTGTCGCCATTGGCTAAAGAGTTTTGCGCGTTTGTTGATAATGGGATGGATACGAGGCGAAGGTATCTTCACTTTCTTCAATCTTTCATGTTCTGATTTTATACTTGTCAATGAATGTAGTTCTGATTACTTTTTATTTTTTGTGATTTGAAGTGCCAAACATATATATCCCGATGAAGTAAATAATCTTGCAGAAGGTTTTACTTTTGGCTCGTGTTATGTGACCAAGAAGGATTGGTTCCACTCACTTGCATATTGTGGTCGACCTTTGATTGACACGGTATTTTAATAAATTTCTGTTCTAATTCCCTTTTTATTTTTGTTGCATATCTTTGTTGTTTTGAGACCCCCATAGTGTATACATAGCTTTGTATAATCGCAGTATAAGATTGTATAACCTTGTATAAATATGTATACCTATGTATAATAGTGTATAAACTTCTATATTTAAAAAATCTGGTAGTGATGGTTGTTCTGTTTTATTTCTTGTCTCAGCACCTGGATGTCCTCTTTTATTATTTGAGGAAGAGGGGAAAATATGGGCCGAGTGTTGCCATGCGGTTTACTACAACCAACTTTGCCTTTGGTAACAAAATCAACTCCCTATACAAAGATTTCAAAGTGAATCAAGATCCTTCAGTGATTCCTGACGGGCATGAGATAGAAGAGTACATCAGAGGTTATTATTGTGATGCAAATGTCCCGTGGCACACTGTTGACCACGTCTTATTCCCTATCTTTGTGAAGCGCGGAAGAGCAAAATTGGGACATTGGGTTTTGGGGGTGTTTACGTTCGTAGATAGATGCATCCACAT